CTTACATTTATTAAAAAACACTACAGAGTTTACTGACTCTAACATTCATTTCAGTAGAAGATATCGAGGTATGGCAGAGAATGTGCTTTTTCTCAGTTTAAACATTTGTGACTTCTTATTCTCTTCTTCCCAGTACCTTCAGTGGAGCCTTAATTTTCAATTAACGCTCTTACATTATTATGATGATCATAGTTACCACGGTTGCAAAGAACAGAGTTCATCTTACACTCTGTTATTGCTACAGTTTTAAAAAGTCAGATAAAGGACTGCCTAAAAAAAAAAAAAAAAAGGAACTCTACTAACAGTTCCTATTAAACTCTCCCAATTCCATGACTCATGGGTTTACCGCTGATTTATACTTCCATAGAATAACAGAGCACACAGTAAGTTAAACAGACATGAGGAAATGGAGAGTATAATGGAAGCAAATTAATGAAAATCAATAGTTTCGAAGACTAAACTGCACTGATAATAAAGCTCATGGGGTTTACAGAATTAGACTGATTTCACTGTTTCATGTAAGAAAATTAGACAACACTTTCAATGAGGTGTTCTTTCAAGTGTGGTTTAAAAGATTACCTTCCTAGTTTAATCAAACTTGTAATAAATAATAATGAATAATTATTAATGATATTGCAGGCACACCAGCAAGGTGAAGAAAATGTGCCTTGATTAGGATTTCTAAGGTCCCCTCTCAATCCCTCAGAGTAGAAAGACAAAACAAGACCTCCCACACCTGGTTTTACCTGGTATGCTAACAGACAGATTATCAGTTTGGTCGATGTCTCTGCAATATTAGATAGGGAACTCTTCTCATCTAGTTTTAGACACCAAGTCCCAATTAGCCACTCCAGCCCTCCCTTGTAACCAGTGAAAGGAATAACTGCCCCTCCAGAAGATAATTCAGCACATCTCAGACATGTCTTAGACCCTCCAAAGGGCTGCCTGTATTATTCTGTTTCTCTCCAGCGTCCAGAGGCAGCCTAATATCACTTGCTCTGGCCTGAAACCAACTTTTCCCTGGCATCCCAGGTTAGACATCTAACATTTCTCTTCCCTTTCTTTCCTCGAGCAATGTTGGCTAAGGCTCTATGGTCCACTTCTTGGCATCTCTGAAGGAAAGCCAAGTTCCAGAGGTAGAGCTAAACACAAGCATCATCAACCTCAATGACTTCAAGAGAGGGCAAAGCAAATACACAAAAGACTGTTCCTTAAAAAAAGATTCCATACCAGTCTCAATTACTTTCTGTTGTAACAGCCATTTTTATAAGGAAGGGTAAATAACCCAAGTTGTAAACACAATGCATAGCAGTAACTCTCATGTTAAATGGGAAGGGAGGTAGGGGGGGAGTGTGTGCTACTAATGCAAAAACTTGCATGTGAACTTTACTGCATCTTCATGGGAAGAGTCGCACTGCTTTAATAACACTAACTATTTGAAATATTGTGCTGAAAACTACACTAATAAGAATTTAATCTAAAACTGCATCAGCTGCATACCCTCCTCAATATCTTCACTACCCAGACAGAAACATTTGTAAAAGTGAAAGCTATATATTAGTATAAAAAACTAATAACCTGCCTCTGTAAACGCTTAAGTAGGCATTTAAGCTGAACATCCTGAAAATTAAAACATATGCAAATGTTTCAAGAAAAGTCAAAAGTTGTTGGTTTGTTTTTTTCAAAGTAATGTCATTCAAAAGAGTAAATTTGGTTCTGAACAAAAAAGGTAGTTCTGCAGCTTCACAAGAGCATCCAAAAATTGACAACAAACAACTTTTCATACTGAAGTACCAAAGCTGGGACAAAGCACAGGACACTTCATACTGTTAAGTCACGCAGAAGTAAAGGTCCAGTGACATCAAATTTAAGAGCTGTTGCTTGGGTTTAGATTTCAAATTGCTGGGCCACAGCAGCAACTTCTACCCTGTGTGCCTTCCTGGGACCTGAGACTTCAAAATGCCATCAGAAGCAGGAAAAGCTGAGATAAAGTCTCTTCAAAACCCTGATGAGATTTCAAAAGTAAAACATCTTTAAACACACTGCCCATGAAAGACAAAGAACCAGGGTGAGGTGAGGTAGTGCTTCACACATCATCTAAAACCCCTGGAACCATCACCCACTCCCTCCTTTCCCCACCACCTAGATCCTTCCATCAACTCTAATTCTACTCTCTTCATGAACTCTTCTAAATACCTGCATTAAGAGTTAAGACTTAATGTAACTTACTCAAAATAGCAAAGAAAATACTTATGAGCACCACTTGTTTAATTTTTACTTATGTTACACTATTATCAGCCTCTAAGAAGCAGATTTTCAGAATGTGGAGACTTATACTCTAAATCCCTTATTCCTTGTATGTAGTAAAAGACAGGCTACATATATAGAGATATGAAAGAACAGATTATATTAACAGTCTGCTACAAGGGGAAACAAACAAACAAGCAAAAAAATCAAAACTACACCTAACATCACCCTCACCGCATCAAATATATCGCACAAGAGATCAAACACCTTGGTACCAAATTCATAGTATGGTTTGTCCTGCTGCCCTCCTACCCACAAAAGAGATTAAGTACCAAATATTCAGCCAATTTAGCCTGATTTTCTGACTCCATAGCTGAAAAGTAGAAAAGTTGATCTATTTGAGGGAGCCTAATGCCTTAAATACATTCAGAAGCTTTAGAGGATGACTTTAAAATAATCAACATACTTTACATTAGACTCAGGCTAGTTTTTTGCCTATGAATGAGTCTCCTCATTCTGAATTCTCTGTTCAGACATTAAAAAAACCCAACTTGGATGCATGCCTCTAATAGTACAGTCCTCCAGCAAAGTATTTTAGGCTTGATGCCAACTCTACCAGGAGCAAAGGCATTCACAGCAGAGACAATCCATACTTTGGTGTTATTCGTTTTACAGCTCCTTGAAAAACTGAAGTCAAAGCACCTGATTATAAAGAGAAAACAATGGGAAAAATTAAAAGGTGTCAACCCAGCACAGGATATAATAGAAGAAGGATTGAGTATTAGAACTATGCAACACATAATCATTCACAACACTTTCCTCACTCATGTAAAGAGAAATCAAGAATCACACTAACCAAATCATTCAATAACAAAAATTTAAGAATACACTATTCAGCTGTAACAGTGAAATGTCACTACATGTCTTTCTTCAAGCAAAATACTTACTAATTATCCACTGAATAACTACTGACCTACTTTGTAATTCAACTCAGTTTTAAAATGTACTTAATATAGTCATGTTTTTATTTAAAAGTACTGAAGCAACTACTCCAGTTTTACTGCTTATTCATAATCTTTGCAGTTCAATTTAATGCTCAGTTATTTGGCTACTAATATTCTTCATGGCTGATTACGTATTTTCAGATATTTCTACAAATGTTACTCTTCCTCCTCTGGTTTACGCTACAAGTTTACTGAACATTTCTTACAGCTGTACAGTTACAACCAAGTTATTCTGCCTTTGAAGACATTCACAGCACTTCCCTTTAATTAGCACACACATACATTTTATCTTCAGCTAAACACTTTTCACAAAGTTAAAGAATACTGTTAGGGTAATTCATCCAAGTACAGTTCAAGTCCACAACCATTGACAATAAATTCAAATTATCCTGAATGGAGTTATGCCAAATGTGACTACCATTGCAGCATGGGAAGGCCTTTCATGCTCACATTAAGTAATCTTCAAATTGTTTAACAACAATAATCAACTCTGTTACCTTGATGAATAGGCCCCGTGAAAATGAGTCCACGTATGTCATGGAATGTAATGCGTTTTTAAATGACAAGACACAAAACACAATGTGTGAGTGATCCTACTGAAAATTTAAAAAGTTTGCAGACTGATCGAATTAAAATGATAGCAAAATGAAAGAACATAAGTTATCTGGAAAACTACGTAACAAAAACATGCATTTTTCCTAAATGTGTTACAGATGTTGATGTTACAATCATTACAGTGCAAAGGTTTAAGAGATAATTCAGCTCCTAACTTCTTACTACACGTTCAAAGTCTATGAAACGAATAAAGACAGGATCTAATATGAGCCTGAAAATCTGATTTAATGGCAAATACATCAGAACAAAGCCCTGAATCACCTAGAGCTATCTCGAATCGAGAGAGATTACCCATCTGACAATTCTTCCATTTTAAAAACGGACAAGTCCTTTTGCAAGACCCAACAAAAGCTCAATACAAGATAACGTGCGGAGAGGCAGCACGCACACCAAATTCATAAGTTTTCCACTTTCATCTGATCATCAAAACAACACTAACAGTGTGATTTCTGCGAGCACTGCGTTCCCTGCAAAGAGCCCGGCGCACCTCGTCTCCTGACTTTCAGCTCGCACGTAGAGCGAGCGATCGGTGCACAACGGGAAGCAGGGGACCGGTCTGTCTGTCTGCGAGAAACACGGGAAAGAGTTTCGGGGCTTCTGGATACTTCAGACTCCACTAGAGCATTCAGCAGCTGCAGCGATCCATTAGGTTCTGCAGAGACACTCTTCTTACACAGAAGAGTGCAGCGTTTCGTTAAAAACAAGTTTCAAAAGGACAAATAGGAGAAACTTGCATAACCCGGGGTGCAGTTCCTCTCGCGCTAAGCCCTACGAAAGGCGGCTGCATACGCGCTACGTGGAATCGGCACAAATTTAAGACGAAGGGAATGCGCTACAGGTAACAGGGAGGAGAACAGCCCAAACCTTCACCTCCTTTGGGAGATAAGCCCTTTCTTTTTCTCCTCCTCCCCGTTTGCTTCTCAATGACGGCAGCAGCGGACAATTTCTGCCAAACTGCCGGAGAGCGGGACCCGCTCAAGAGGGAGCGTTCCCACCGCGCCGGGAAGGGTGGGATCACATTCCGAGCGTGTGGAAATCAAACCCCACGGCGAAACCTCGGAGCAGGCGTGTGGCGGCCCCCGCCCCGGGCGGGCTCCCCCCGCGCCCTCGCCTCTCCCCGCGGCCGGCACTGACCTGAGGGTGCGGTTGCCGGCGCAGCCGCGACGCTCCATGGCGGCGGGCACGCAGCTGGTGAGCTCGGTCCAGTCGGCGTGCAGCCCGCAGCTCCAGCCGGTGGAGAAGCGGGAGAAGAGCCAGGTCTCCCGGCGGTTGGGGCGGTAGCAGGTGCACTTCTTCTGCCCGGGCCGGCAGTCGCAGGGCACCTCCAGCCGCACGTTTTGCACCAGGTGGCGGCCGAAGGTGGTGCCGCCCGTCTTCTGGATGTGCAGGAAGACGATCACGTCCTCGCCCTTCATGTCGAAGGCGAGCTCCCGCTCCAGCTCCCGCACGGGGAAGTAGTACTTCTTCACGTAGTGCGGGTCCGGCGTGGGAAAGAGGTCCAGCTCCTCCGAGTAGGAGCGGCCGCTGGGGGAACCCAGGCTCAGCCCCGGCCCCACGTACTGGTACAGGATAAGCATGAAGCACACCGAGACGGCCACGATCAGCAAGAACTTGCTGGTCCTCTCAACCATGGTCCTTCCC